TAAGCATGATCCTGCAGGGCGTGATTAATCATTGCCTGGTAGTTAGCGCAGATACGAATGGAGCCATTGGCTTTAATTGTGATGACAGTGGGGGTCTCCCAGCGGGTGTAATCAACAGGTTCCAACACGCCCTGGTGAATGAATTTGTCAAGTTCTTCATCCACTCGCGGTCACAAGGCAAGGGGAACACGGCGCGGTTTAAGACGTTTCAGTGGGACTGCAGGGTTGAGGCTGAAAGATACAGGAGTGCCGGTGTATTTGCCCAACGAGTCGGAAAAGACAGAGGGGAACTCACGAACTAATAGATCTAATTCTGAGGATTTGATTGAGTGAATGCCCTGTATCGTAAGGCCCAGGGCGGCGAACCAGTTAAGGCCCAGTAGGCTAGGTAATGGGCCATCAACAATTATCAGGGAGAGACGGCCCTGAAATTTCCTAAATTTAACTCTGAAAGTACCGGTCCCCACAACCGGAATCAGGGCGCCCGGGTAATCTTTCAGTAATAGGGAACATGGTTTGAGCTGCCACTTGGCCAGCGTCGGCACTAAGCGCTTGATCGTGCTCCATGATACAATGGTTGTGGAGGACCCGGTGTCCACTTCCATGTTGCACGGGCGCCCTTCAATTAGAACTGTCAAAGTAATCTTCGGGTTTTCCGCATGCTTTCGAGACGTAACCCGTAACCCTTGTCATTGGCGCGCATGCACAGGTCTAGGGCCGGAGTGGCGTGTCGCGTTACCCTCATTAGGGAAACGCGAGCTGGTCTGCAGCTGCGCTGAGCGACACACTCTGGCAATGTGTCCTTGCCGCCTGCAGAGCCTGCAAACAGCTTCTCTGAATTTGCATGACACACGAACGTGTTGTCCCCCACAACTGTAACACCCGGGGCCTCCTTCAGTCTTGTTCCTCTCTCCAGCTGGCCTAGACTTCGTCTCTTTAACGCGGCAAACCTTGCCTTCCTCCTCCGAGTCAGAATACACTTCAGTCACTATTTCATTAGCGGAACTCGTGCCCGCCTCAGAATTGAGCGCGCTCTGCCTCCGGGGTAACTCGGCAATGGATAGGGCAGCTAATTCCGCGGCACATGCCTTCCTCAGAGCCTCCTGGAAAGTGAGGTCAACATTGGCGATCAAATGCTGTTTCAAGTTTTGATCGCGCACACCACTTACAAGGCGGTCTAATAAGTAATCATCCAGATTTTCAAATTGGCAGTGACGTGCAGCCCTCCGCAACGCCGCAACATATTGATTGATTGATTCGCCTGGGGCTTGGTCACGGTGATAGAAATGTTGTCTGCGGGCAATTCGGGAGGGTGCCGGTGCATAGTGTCTTTTGAGTTTGCCCATAAAGTCCTCCCAAGTTCCGGCATGTATTGATTGAGGGGCCATGAGAGTCATGGCTGTATCGAACATTTCGGGGCCACAAAAACTGAGGAAATACGCCCTCTTCCTCTCGACCGAGAGGTTAGTATAGTCATTGGCAATTAAAAAACACTCGAATCTGGCGACATAAGCGTCCCACGTCTCTTTGCCCTGGTCAAATGGGGGAAACATATGAGGTGCTGCCATGGTCTTATGTCTGCTTCGTTTCACTGTTACCTCAGGTCGCTTTCCTTGCTGCCGTCTCTTCCGCCAGGTCCGCTATCCCACCTTCGTCGCCAGTAATAAATATCGTACTTATTATTATTAGACGACAAGTGAACTGCTGAGGTAACTTCTTTATTAAGTTCAACCGGCAACCTTTGCATTTTAACATTCCTGTCACGAACGAACGACAATTCCCTATTGACAGCTCTTATATACTCGCTGTCAGCTAATGTTAACCAATCACAAAACTTTCCATAAATACTCGTCCCAACAGGGGGCCTAAACCGTAGAGTTTGCTCAGTACACAACAATAACCATGATGATTGCCTTAGTCATGAAAGCAGTCATAAAATGAAAATACTCATAAAATTCTGTCAGGGCACCTGGTGACCTGCTTAATGACTGCAAAGACTGACAACCAAAGTTGTAGGCTCCGTGATGGTCATAAGTCAAGGACTACCCATTCTGCCATTTGACAAACCCCAGCACTATTCCTGAGACATAATGACTCCAGTAGCAACGTTTCACATGTTAGCCTTATCTACAGGAAAGTCTTGTAGAGAGGACAAATGCCTTCGCTTTAAGCATCATGGAAATAGTGGAGTTTCCACAATGCAATTTATTTCCAGAGGCTTAAAGTATCAAAGAGAGGGAAATTTTTCAAGCAGCTTTTGCTTCTATTTGCCTTAGCTAGTTGGCCTTATTCCACCCCACCCACCAGGGTTTTAAAAGCAATTCTTGCTTCCTGGTTTCAATCTATGTCTTTTCAAGGATTACATCTCCCTTTGAAATCATCAAGGTTTTCTACTTTGAAAATAAGCTTCCTACAAGAGGCAAATCTCCCTCTGATTAAAATTTCATGCTGTCTTTAGGTTCTCAGACCCTACTGGGATTTAAGGGTGATTTTCGGCAGATGATGACCTGGTGGATTCAACATTGCACATTTATTTTCTGCTGAATTACCCTTAGGAACAACTCTGTCTGCTTTTCTTCCTCCCCTTTCCAGAATAAATTTACTCTACAAATTTAGCATGCAGGCACAGATGAGGAAAACAAAAATCAAAGCATCTTTATATTTTGCCAGAATTCTCATTTGGATCCAACATACATATTAATGTTATAAAATCTCCAATTTGGTTGGATGACGATGCAGATTTTTATTAAACTTGAACTTGTACAGCACGTATGGATGACATGTGGCCAATTTTAAGGGAAAATGAAGGAACTAGTCTGTGGATTCAGCTCTGTTTATGAATTTCACAACTCCTGCAATTATTTGGTCTGAGGTTCATCTTTCTATAAAGGTTTCCAACACATGATACCCCTGTTTCCCCTAAAATAAGACATCCCCTGATAATAAGCCCAATATGGCTTTTGGGTGCGTGCACTAAAATACCCCACCGAAAATAAGCCCTCCCCAAAAATATTGAAACGCATGCACAACTGGTCCCTGCCATTTCCTCTGGTTTCCTCCATGTGCCCCAAAATAATAAGACCTCCCTGAAAATAAGGCCAAGCACTTATTTCAGGATTCAAAAAAATATAAGACAGGGTCTTATTTTCAGGGAAACACAGTATGTTTTGGCCACCCAAATAGGGGCATCCTAAGTTTATAAGCTACTAGACAACCTTTGATACATTGGGTCATCCTTTAGAAAGAAAAGCAGTGACCAGTATGAACTTTCCTGAATCACATTGCTATTGTTTTGGTTTGAAAATTGACCTTTATTCAAAAAATGGTTGCAATTATAATGCACCAGGAGTGGAAGTACGGTAACTCCCGACCTCTTGCTGGCTTCCTATTCACCTTGATTGTAGGAAGCTGCCAGAGAGCATCAGAAATCCCAATCACTTGACCACATGGATGTTGCAATGGCTAGAATTTTGCAAATAAAATTGGTGTGAACGTAGTGGAAATTTCAATTGCACAAGAATAATGAATCCTGAATAATAATAATAATAATAATAATAATAATAATAATAATAATAATAATTTGTACGTTCTTTAAGTTAGTGGATTTGAGGTACCTTGATTCAAAAATTGTTGTGATATAATGCACTGTTTGGACAACTAGAAGTGACAAACAGACAAACAGACAAAAGAGGTTTAGCAGTACATAGATAAACATGCCATTCAAGATGTTGTCCAAATGTGTGAGCAATTTCATGTTTTGCATGTGAACTACTACTTATGTTTTTTTCCCCTTCTGCTCAGTCGTGTCTGATTCTTGGAGACCGTCAAGGTTGAGAAAGACTGCATCACCCTATAGTTTTATTTACATTTATCTGATCACCTCAACCTGAGATAATCAATGCCCCATGAGAGAAACCTAGTAGGGAGGTTTATTTACAAATGTCGAATGAAATTCAGCGGATATACTCCAGCAGATGTGCTTAAGGTTATAACTTTGATTCTGTTTTATGAAACAGATTTTTTTTTTAGTTTAAAACACATGTTCTTCCTGACGAGAACAGAAAATAAGATATAATTAAAGAAAAGCATTTTCTTTGTGCTTGTACATTTTGTTTCATTCTATTCCCCTTCTTAATCCCTTACTGACCTCATAGAACATTTGGGTGCTTCTCTGTGTATCCACCTGTTTCAGTTATTCTTAGAAATAAACACATAAATTCTCCTACTGTGTGTGGGCACTCAAGCATCGATACATCTTCCATTACAGACTTTAGCAGAAAAGGATGCTTGGATGCATCTGATGATGTTAAGAAGATAGAAACTCAACTACTGTAAACTAAAAGTGATGAATCCACGGGGAAGGGTGGGGGAACCCACTAACACAAAAGCTGGAATTAGTTCTAATTTACATTTATGTACTATCTTTGTCTATGACACTTGTAATTGATGCAGAATGTGTGATGTGTTCATCCATCCATCCATGCATCCATCCATCCAGCCATATTCAATTTCATCTCTGTGTGCTACATAACAAACCATAAAACAGCTGACATGTAAAAACCATTATTATTAAAAATATTTTTAAACATCACAAAGAGAGGACTGCAGATGTTCACAGCAATAGAGCCACCTCACTAGCAAGTGCTATTGCTATTGAATATACCACTTCATAGTGCTTTACAGCCCACTCTAAGCGATTTACAGTCAGCATCTTGCTCCCCCAACAATCTGGGTCCTCATTTTACCGACCTTGGAAGGATGGAAAGCTGAGTCAATCTTGAGCTGGTCAGGATCGAACTGCTGGCAGTCAGCAGAATTAGCCTGCAATACTGCATTCTAACCATTGTGCCATCACAGTTCCTACTCTGGTCTCATGGGGCTCCAAGTCTGATGTCATAATCTGGAAAATCAGCAGGGATTGGACCAGCCTCACTTCTGGATGGGGGGCAGGGAGGATGATCTATAAGGCAGTTTCCTTCCTGGGATCCACCAAGTGTAGCTCCCTAACAGACAGGACCTGTAGATGCCTCTTCAGCTGATCTGAAAGTGACAGGAAGATATAATCAAGACTTGGGAGCAGACAGAAAACAAAAGAACTCACAGAGCAGAGATACAGTGTGTGATATTCTAAGGTAAAAGTAAAGGTTCCCCTCGAACATATATGCCAGTCGTTCCCGACTCTAGGGGGCGGTATTCATCTCTGTTTCAAAGCCAAAGAGCCAGCACTGTCTGAAGACGTCTCCATGGTCATGTGGCCGGCATGACTAAATGCCAAAGGGGCATGGGATGCTGTTATCTTCCCACCAAAGGTACTCCCTATTTTTCTACTAGCATTTTTTACATGCTTTCAAACTGCTAGGTTGGCAGAAGCTGGGACAAGTAATGGGAGCTCACCCTGTTACACGGCACTAGAGATTTGAACCGCTGAACTGCCGACCATTCAATTGACAAGCTCAGTGTCTTAGCCACTGAGCCACTGAGTCCCTGTGATATTCTAGAGACATGCATAATTGCCTACACCATAGCATTCCACACGAGCTGAAGCTTCTAGATCATTGAAGGCCATATCAGGGTTGTGTTTGACCTTGGGGGAGGGGAAGGATGGGCAAGGCCAGCTTGACATCACTCATGTCAGGGGTGCCTGTGGTGGCCCAAGTGTTCTGCCAGTGAAAACGGGCTCCCGAGCTCCATTGTTGGCTGCGAAAACTTCCTGCAACACTCTGCCAGTGAAAACGGAGCTTGGGAGGGTGGCCTCCCAAGCTTTGTTTTCACTGGTAGAGGCACCATGGACTGGTCCTTTCTTTATTATTCATATTTCATATTTCATATTTTATTATTATTCATATTTTATTATTCATATTTCTATGCCGTCCACTCTCCGGGGATTCTGGGCGGCTTACACCAAAGACAGTATACTAAATAGCATATTGCCCCCAACAATCTGGGTCCTCATTTTACCCACCTTGGAAGGATGGAAGGCTGAGTTAATCTTGACCCGGTGAGATTTGATCTGCTGATCTGCTGAACTAGCAGTCAGCTGAAGTAGCTACAGTACTACACCCTAACCACTGCACCACCTCGGCTCAGTGTTTCTTGTTTCCAGGGCAGTCCCATGGGCCAGATCTGGCACAATACAAAGCTGTGCAAAAGCCCTTCAAGCCATGAATGCCTCCTGTCTTTGGAACAGGTGTCATGACTCCAGAAGAATGTCAAGATTGTGTACTACCGTGTTTCCCCGAAAATAAGACTTCCCTGCATAATAAGCCCAATTGGGCTTTTGAGCGCATGTGCTAAAATACCCCCTTGAAAATAAGCCCTCCCCGAAAATATTTAAATGCATGCACAGCCGGTTCCCGCCAGGTAAGATGGCAAGAGGAGCCCTGTCTTGTTCCATATGCCCCAAAATTATAAGACCTCCCTGAAAATAAGTCCAAGCGCTTATTTCGGGGTTCAAAAAAATATAAGACAGGGTCTTTTTTTCAGGGAAACATGGTTGCTCTGTTTGGGATAATGTGACCTCATCCAACACCAAAGATAACATAATTCTAGAACCCGCAGGTCCCAAAATCCAAAGTCACTCAGTCTTGCCCAGGGTTCAGCTGAAACCTGTTGTCCCCGATGCAGAAACTCACAAACTTACGGCACTGGGCTAGTGATAAGATGCCCATGGCATCATTTAATTTGTTAGGGATAGAAAAGCATATTGGGCCCACCGGTCTCATGTAGATGTTGAATAGGAAAGATCACTGAACTCTGCGGAACCCCCAGAGTGGGGTTTGAGGGTGAGATCTCCCCCCCCCAAAATCAACACTGACTGGAAATGACCAGTGGTGGGATTCAAATAATTTAACAACCGGTTCTTTGCCCTAATGATTTCTTCCAACAACCAGTTCACCAAACTGCTCAGAAAGTTAACAACCGGTTCTCCCAAACTGGCTGAATCCCGCCATGGGAAATGACCCTGGAGAAAGGAAGTGAGCCAGCACAACACAATGCTGCTTGACCCTAATCCTCTGAGCTGATCCAGAAGGATACCATGTTGAGAGCCATAAAGTGGTCAACTAAGCAACCATCTTGCTGCAGCCATTATAAATACATGTAGGTGACCAAGTGCCCAAATTTTGACCATGCGACTGTGGGAATACTGCAATGGTCATATGTATGAGAACTGGCTGTAAATCACTTTCTTCAGTGCTTTCGTAACCTTACTGGTTATAAGTCAACAATTACTTGTAATGACACATTTGGCATTTTCAGTTTCTTTTCCTTTTTCCATTTCCTTTTCCATTTTCAGTCCATCCTATTTCTGTTTTGGGTGTTGCGTGTGCATCATTGCGCTAAAATGATGTCCTTGGATGCATTATTCTCCAAATGGGTGTAGTTTGATTGCAATTTCACAAGATATATACAGGGCTTTTTTTTTTTTTTTGCATCTCTTTATATTTCACCTAATACAATGCACTTTGGGATATTACTTTGTGGGTTATAAGCAATTTTCTGCAAGTTTTCTTTAATGCCTTTTTTGAAAAATGGGGATCTGCTTTGAAAAATTCAGATGCTTGAGAATTTTGGGGATAAATGAATTTCAGGGGAAGATGGGTTAAAAAAAATGAAGTTAGAAACCACATATTTTTATATTGATTTCTACCATGCCATACTGAATATTCCTTGGTGGACTGGCCTGCAGTTGTGCAAGTCCATTCAACCCTTTTAACATTGGAAAGATTCTGAGAATCTGGAATAGATCCTCCTTTTCAATGATAATCTTTTTAGGATTATGGACTGAGTCCCTTAAACCCAAATATACTAGAGAATCCCTGGAAACCTGGCACTCAGACAAATCAGACACATAGAGGCACATAGAAATAAACATTTGCAAGCGTAATAGTAACTTTATCAACAACCAAGCTGCAAACAACACTCCAATTAAGGTACTACTAACTCAGATAAACAAATAAGCCTAATCAAGGAATCATCAGGACAATCCCATCAACGCAGACAGGGTAAGCCACTTGTATATAAAAAGAGAACAAACTCCTCTCCCTTCTAGCACTGATGATGTTATCTAGTGGGGTAGTGAAAAGTCTGAAAGAAAACAATCAAGCTCAGAGAGCACCAAGGACCCCATAGTTCAACTATGGTTCAACAGCTAGAAATATTCTCTACTATAGATTATGCTCAGTTCCTCATAGCTTAGCCCAAGACCATTAAATTTTTCACATGAGCTGAATTATTGCACAATGTGAATTACTTCATGTTGCAGAATTATTACGTTTCTGCAATGCTTAGTAGAGACTTCAGGTCAGGGATTAATAGCATTGTTCATTCTAATTATTCACTTCAATGCCAACACTGGCTGTTCCTTTAAGAGAAGATCTGAACCTATTTAATCTACATTACTGTAGTTCAGATGTATCTATTTACATCTAGGCCATCCCAGCAACCATGCAGTGCCAACCTTTCCATAGTGGGCATACATGGGAAATGAAGCAAACAGAATGGTGTGCTATTAAGTGTTTTTTCCCTAAGAGAACATAATGGCTTTGAGATGACTACCGTAGATGAGTTTTTGCAGGTTTTACACAGGGGAACCCAAAACAGTTCAATTTCATTTTGCTTCTATTGCAAAACAAAGAATGGGATTTACTGGGAAAATAAGAAGGGCGAGCAAAATGTTTGAAAAATCACATCCAATGATTACCAACAACAAAATCAAGCCGATGCAGCATTATTATTATTGCAACTTACCTTAGTTCCTGTATTAACAAAATTCCAAAGGTGTTGCATAGCAACACCTCTTGATTTTATGATTGGTTTTAAATTTTGATATGGATTTTAAATTGATAAATTTTAAACTATGGGCCAAATTTAATTATTTTAAATCTATTTTTAATCGTACTTATGTATAAATGTTTTTTATTCTGGCTGTTCACCGCCCTGAGTCCGAAAGGAGAAGGGCGGTATAGAAATTCGAATAATAATAATAATAATAATAATAATAATAATAATAATAATAATAAAAACACCCATCAAGTTCTGTGCTAACCCAGTCCTGGTTTGCAATGGTAACCAAGGCAGGAATGGAAAACCTCAAAATAATTCTAGGGGACATTCAATATTTTTCAATTGATAAATTTGTCATAATCTATAAATCTTCACTGAGCAACTAAATTATCCTTTATATAAAGGTAAAATTGGCCTTGAATTTTACTTAGTACATTAGTCTCTCAAATATAACCCTATTTGTTTTGTTGGTAAGTGTATGAAATGCCAGAATATTTTTCAAGTTCTTGATTAGGATACAGCCTGTAACAGTGCATAAATATTCGATTTATGACCATAACTGAACTTGGAGTTACAGTTGTAAGTCATGATAGTCATTAAGCAGATCACCATGTGACCATGCCTGATCTTCTGCAGCAGTCATTAAGCAGATCCATTGACCACAGTGGGTAGTCTTGTTTTTTGTTTTTGCCAGAACTGCATGATTCATTTAAAAACATGCAGTGATTCATTTAACAACTGTGGTAATAAAGGTAAAAAAAAAAAAATTCAGCTGTGACTCATTTAATAACTCCCTTGTTTACCGGTGGAAATTCCAGCCCCAGTTGTGGTTATAAGCGGAGAACTATTTGTATTTTCTTTCCTTATAATTACATTACTGCAACGAGATCTGTATATGAAGCTACTCCTGAAGAACATTTGAATCAAGGTTATAATAGCTAACCTTCCAACTGAGATATGATATCAGCACTATATTATCTCCCTGTTGAACAAATTTGCACTAATTGCCAATTGCTTTTAAGATATAATGGCTTTATCCTTTAACATTCTACATTACTTGGGCCTGAATATCTGAATAGTCCTACCTGAATATTAACATTCGAACAGGATGCCCTTTGAAAGATACCTCCTACTCTCACAAGCGTGGTAGGTCTGAAGGACTCAGTTCTGATATTGTTTTAAAACTATGGAACACACAGGCTCCATAAGCAGTTGCATTTGATGGCTGTTCTCTCCATTTTTCCAAAAAGAGTCTTCAGCCAAGTTCAATGAGGAGTTGATTAAGGGCAGGAAAAAATTACTATACTAATAGAAGAGAATATTTCTGGCTCAGGGTTAAGCTGTGGGGTTCTTAGTTCTCTGTGAGCTTGGTTATTTCCTTGCAGATGTTTCATAAGGTAAAATCAGCAGTGCTAGAAGGGAATGGAGTTTGTTCTCTGTTTAAATAAGGTTAGTTGTCCTATCAGTGTTGCAGGGTGGGTTGTGCTTACCTTTACTACCGGTTTGCAACGGGGCCGCACAAAGCTTCTGCACATGCGCAGAAGCTTCCTGATGACGTCAGGGTCGGTGCGCGGAGCCTCCTGCCGGTTTTACTACCAGTTCTTGTGAACCGGTCCAAACCGGGGGCAACCCACCACTGCAGTGTTAGTGGGAATGTTGTTTTCTTCTTGTATTAACACCAGGAACAATACCAGACTAACAGTCAAACAGTAAACAATATTTCAGAAACAATAATTCAACCAACCAAGTACCAAATAAAAAACAAAAAATGAAACAGTAAACAACAGCCTGATCAAGAAACTACCATGATCCCTCCCACCAACACTGACAGGGCAAGCCACTTGTATATAAACAGATAGCAAAATCTACTCCCTTCCAGCACTGATGATGTTACCTAGTTGGGTAATGAAACATCTGCAAGAAAACAATCAAGCTCAGAGGGTATCAAGGACCCCACAAACATTACTACCTTTGGAGCTGAACCATAAAAAATCAGGCAAAAAAATATGTGTAGTTGGGTTAACCAAGGGTTTGCATGCTTTAAAACTTCATCTATTTTGGTTTTCGGTTTTTAACTTCATTATTTTTTGTTTGATTTGATATTCTTACTATGTTTTTAGCTGCTGCCGTACTTGATTGTCCTTACTGAAGAGAAAGCAACAGGTAAACTATGAATAAAATGAATGCTACATGTTATGTGCATTTTTAGATGAAATAATGCTTTCAGTTAAATATATATATATTTTTAAAAAAGGATGACAACTTGTTCTAAGAAGTGTAAATGTGACCACTGTTAATTTGTTAGCTAATGCTACAGCTGTTTCATGTTTGATCAATATACATTGAGCTATCACAATTTATAGAACTTTCTCCCAAATAAAACTTTCCTTTGTTGAAGTTTTTACAACTAAGCAGCCAATTTCTCAATCTTTTCTCTTGTTCTGTTTCTTCTCGGAGTAGAAGAATGCTAAATTTTTAAATGCTGGTCAATGAAAAGAAAACTCTCTGAAGTACTGTGCTAGCATTTCCTATTGTGGATGTGTGTTTCCAAATATTTCCAAGAAATGGAGTGTATAATTTGCTCAGATTCAAAAGTGGGAGTGCGATGCATTTATATGCTCATCTATTCTGTATAATAAAATGTGAGGATTAATTGTAGCTCCTTTTTAACTACATTATGGCTAAAGGAAAAAAATAATAGAATTGCAGATCTGAAAGCATCCAGAATCAGTTCTGTCCTAAAGACAAGGCAATTTTGCCCCAGGTCAGTTAATTTAATATTCTCTATACCTCGGTGAGACCCCTGAATAATGAACAATTTGAGATGAAATAAGAGGGAGGCAACAGAATACTACTATGAAAGGCAGTATCTTCTGACAAGAATGTATAGTCAACTCTGTTATTCTTCTATTCTCTGTAAATTTTGGAGTCTGCTACAACCTTATTTGAATTTCTAATTATTTGGATTTCAGAAGCTGGTTCCAGAATGTCTCCTTTGAAGTCAGTATGCCAAATAGCTCAGGGCTGAACTGAGTGCACTGATGATAGTTGGGAACTTAGCTAGTCTGGTAACGAAATGTCTGCAAGAAAACATGAACCCAATTGAGTATTGAAACCTTGTCTCAATAACAAGCTTTTTAGCCCTTCATGCAGAGGTGGTATTCAGCAGGTTCTTACCAGTTCTGGACAACTGGTAGCGGAAATTTTGAGTAGTTTGGAGAATACGGTAAATACCACCTCTGACAGGCCCCATCCCCATCTATTCTCTGCTTCCCTAGTTCCAGCTGATCGGGAGGAAATGGGGATTTTGCAGTAATCTTCCCCTGGAGTGGGGTGGGAATAGAGATTTTACAGTATTTTTCCCCTGCCACACCCACTAAATCTCACCACGCCCACCAAGCCACGCCCACAGAACCATTAGTAAAAAAATGTGATTCCCGCCACTGCCTTCAGGGGTACAGTAGTCCAGACAAGAAGTGCATCCAGGAGTATATACAGAATCCTGCAAGTCTCAAAATATTTCTCCCTTCCTCTCCTTTTACCCTCTGGAAGATAACAAGAGATCCTTTTGAAATGCTTCCCTCTTTCTGTGAGCTATTTGTTTCGCGATGGTTGTGTCAGATGGTAATCTGAAACAGTGCCACTGAACCACACTGTCTATACTAGAAGGATGGTTTTGTGTTTATACTTTCCCTCCATTTTGTCTAAGGGACTGAAGGCGGAGTGGCTTAGCCACTCTATAAATATGACCCCCTTTACCCACACACACTTGGGAGACACATGGGAGACAGAAAGAGAGAAGAAGGGATTATGCTCTAGGCACATTTACCTCAGAAATAAATAAAGACCAAGATACAATGTTCTGTGATTTAAAATGTAAATAGTTTATTGATTTTAAATAAACAAAGTTGTTCAGTCTGCAGCTCTACTTCCTGTCTCCATTTCTCTAATCCATTGTATAGAGGTATTTTCAACACAACAGTTGCTTAGCAACCATTCTGAAGTTACAACTAAACTGGAAAAGAGGACATATGACCAGGATTCGAAGATCTGACAAACTTCAAGTGCTCAGCAACATAGCTTGTTCACAACTCTTTGCTGCCTTCTGTGACCACATGACTGTATTTTACAACAATTTTTTGCCAAAAATGGGCATTTCCTTTCTATTTTCACAAAACTGTGTCCATAGTAAACATTGATTCAGTTAATGAGCATGGATTCACTTAACAACTACGGTGATTTGGTTAATGACTACCACAAAAACATCATAAAATCGGATCACTTGTATGGCCAAATTGTTTTATAACTGTCATGACAAACAAGTATAATTATATTCATATGTTGAAGATTAGCTGTCAGGCATAAGTAACCAGGATTAGGAGTTGAATTCAAAGCACAAAGAGTTTATTTCATGATGTCTATAGTATATACAAGAATCTGGTCCACTAACATTCAAACTAAATTGATGCTAGATAAGAGGCAATGAAATTCACAGGTGGCTGGATGGTCTCTTGTGGCTGCGCAATGATTTCAAACTGATGATGCATTTAACCCTACCCCTACGCTCACCTCCTCCAATGCTGCAACCATTATAAACACAACAACCAAATTATGACCGTGGGAATGCTATGTTGGTTGTTAGTATAAGCACTGGTTGTTAAGTCACAGTTTTCAGTGCCACTGTAACTTTGGACAGTCGCTAAATGAATGTTGTAAGTCAAGGATTACCTGAATTTATCTTATGCTTTTATCTGTTGTTTTACAGCAAAATAGCATTTAGAGATTATCGATAATGTTTTGGGGGCCAAAGGATTGCAAAGATTCATTTAATAAGCTCTTCATACAAATAAAATGGGGAGATCGCATCATTGGTGCACGCCATCTGGGCAAATTTGTAAATAGGAAACAGCCTCACTGCTGTCCATTTTTCACAGCCAGGAAATCAGAGAGCCTTTGGTCCACTGGAAAGATTTATGCCTGTCTGCACTTTCCGTCTACCTAAAGCAAATTAACGTCATGGTGCTGCAATAATGGAAATAATCAGGACAATGTCCATCAAGGCAGAACGCTCTGAAACAGTCTGAGAAATGAATAGCCTTCAATTAATATGTGAATTGAGTAATAATTTCATTGTTCAATCTGCAGATGAGGAGCTCAAGAGGCGTTTGATATGTCGCACACGTTAGAGGGGATCTTGCCAGCTCGCTCAATTGATGGGGGTTTATGAAGATCATATCAAATCTCCTTCAGTCTTTGTTGTTTCTCCTTGTGGCATAGATTTCCTTCTCTTAGAGCGGCCTTAAGGATTCACCCTGCATACACCCACACGGAGGAAGGAAGGCAATGAATATCTCCATTTCTCAGCCAGAGAAAGAGCTGGAGAAAAAGGATGAAAAGAGCACAAACCCCATTAAACGGTCTGCATGAGAATTATGAAAGCATCACGGGCCATAATAGCTCCTTCATTTTGCCCCAATCCCTTGACATTTAATTTCTACTCAGGTATTTTATTTTAATAATACGTGGCCATAAGCAGAAAAAAATAGTGCCTGATTAACACCTTAGAATGATCCAAATTCTGACACATTACTGGGCTCAAACTTGTCATTGTTGATTCAAATAGTGATTTTTAATAAATTATAGTTGGCTTGATTCAGACAATAAATTAAACCCAAACCAAGCAAGTTTTATTTATTTATTTGATTTTTATCCCACTTTATTATTTTATAAATAACTCAAGGTGGCTAACATATCTACTTCTCCTTCCTCCACCTATTTTCTCCATAGCAACAATCCTGTGAGGTTAGGCTAAGAGAGAGTGATTGGCCCAAAGTTACTAGCTGGCTTTCATGCCTGAGGTGGGATTAGAACTCACATAGTCATCTAATGATTGGCCCAAAGCCACCCAACCAGTTTCATGTCTAAGGAGGGACTAGAACTCACTGTCTCCTGGGGTTTGTCCTAAAGTCACCCAGAGAGTTTCATGCTTAGGTTGGGACTCCTGGTTTCTAGGCCAGCATTTAACTAATAATAAATTATTATTATTAATTGATAACCTAAACCATTCTCATCCCAAACCACTCCAGGTGGCATAACATCGGACAAAGAAGAGGCAAAACATAATATAGGGAGTCCTTGACTTACAACAATTCATTACTGTTCAAAGTTATAACAGCACTGAAAAAAGTGACATATGAACATTTTTCACACTTGTGACCTTTGTAGGGTCCCCAATCCTCATGTGATCAAAACTCAGATGCTTGGCAACTGGTTCATATTTATGACTATTGCTGTGTCCCAAAGTCATGTGATCAACTTTTGAGCCCTTTTGACAAGCAAAGTCAATGGGGAAGGTAGATTCACTGCACAATCGGATTACCAATTTATCAACTGCAGTGATTCACTTAACAACTGTGGGAAGAAAGGTCACAAAATAGGGCAAAATTCACTTAACATAATATTTCATTTAACAACATAAATTTTGGGCTCAATTGCGGTCGTAAGTCAAGGACTACCTGGTTCAATACAAATTGGTATCAAAAACAAAGAATGATAATATGCAGGGAGATAAAATCCCAAATAAAACCCAAAATAGGTTCCCACAATCCATCAACAGGGACCAAAAGCTCATTGAATAGTCCAGAATAGCAGCAAAGTGAATTCTGCCCATCCCTTAGGGGGAGGGAGAGCTCCAGGGGTGAAATTCAGCAGGTTCTGATAGGTTCTGGTGAACCGGTAGCGGAAATTTTGAGTAATTTGGAGAACTGGCAAATACCACCTCTGGCTGGCCCCAGAGTGGGGTGGGAATGGAGATTTTGCAATATCCTTCCCCCAGGAGTGGAGAGGGAATGGAGATTTTGCATATCTTTCTCCTGCCATGCCTACCAAGCCAAGCCACGCCCACCAAGCCACGTCCACAGAACCAGTAGTAAAAAAATTTGAATTCCACCACTGGAGAGGTCCCTAAGAAAGTGGCTATTCTAGAGAAGAGCTGCAGTACATTACAGTTTAGCATAATATATAAGCTCAGCTTTTGAGTTTTAAAAGTAAAAAAAAAGAAAAAGAGTATCTGTACTTCATTCATGAGCTGCATTTTCCCATAATTAAGAGTTCTCTGTTATGTCTTGAGGTGGATTTTTATTAGCACATTTACTGCAGCCTGCAAATGCTCCTGTTTGAAATTCTGGAGAATCACTATTCTGCAATGTTGACTAAGCTAGTTGGGATCATTATATGACCTTCCGAGGGCTCAAGTCCTCATGAAGCTTGCATTATTTCAGATTTTGTTACCATCCTGTTACGTGGAGCGAAGTAACATATTCAGCAATAATTTTGTGTAAGGGGAAACTTCCTGCTTTCTTATACCCCATTACCAGGGTGGCATATGCAGATTCAGAGAAACAGTTAAAACAGGTAAATAAAACAGGTTCCAGGTTTGTTGTTTTTCTCTCTGTAAAGAGAAAAACAATTCATGAACCTTGATTATCCTGCCTATTTTACCCATATTTCTGAACCTGGGTATGGAACCTGGTAAAGTCAGCAAGAAGCAATTAGAGTACCAGTCAAGCTTTATCAAACTAGAAAAGCCCTTTCACCTTGCAGCTCCAGACCTCACTAATTGCTTTATATTAATTCACTTTCTTTTTTTGATCAAAGAAAGAGTAACAAACCTTTGCTCATTTTACCCAGCATGTTCCCTCTAGATTTGCCCTGGTTCTGAAAACCACTGTAAGTCAGCAAATCTTAACGTACTATGAGCACAGCTGGTTCTTGAGTTAGCATCAGAACTAGGGACAGAATTTCCATGGCTAACCAAGGCAGTTAAGTCATGCCTGATTTTACAACATTTTTGCAATGGTTGTTAAGCGAATCATTGCAGTTGTTTAAGTGAATCTGGCTTTCCCCTATTTATTTTGCTTGTTGGGAGCCAGCTGGGAAGATTATAAATGATTATCACATCACCCCAGGATGCTGCAACATCATAAATACATGCCGATTGTTAAGCACTTAAATTTTGATCTGGTGAATGTGGGGATGCTATCGTGGTTGAAAGTGCAAGGAATGGTTGGAAATCCCCCCCCTTTTTGTAGTGCCAATGTCATTTCGAACTGTTACTAAACAAATAGTTCTAAGTAGAGGACTACTTGTCCTACCAAATATACATCCCCTTTCTGAATTACTCATTTAAGTTTAAGGACAGGGCTAAGGAAATGAATTGGCATTCATTATCTGCTCTCAGCCTTTATTGTTCATCACTGTTGGGTGCAAGGAACTAGAACAGGAGTTCTAGTTCAAACTCAAGGTCCATGGCCACATCCGGCCCATGGGATGCTTAGATCTGGCCCGCAGGGCCAGCCTGGAAATAGCAAAGGACTGGCTTGCAGTGCCTCTGCCAGTGAAAACAGAGCTCAGGGGTGGCATGCATGGCTCCCCACACTCTGTTTTTGCTGGCAGAGGGCTGCTGGAGCTTTCCAGGCTGAAAATAAGTACCCGGGGGGGGGGGGGCACACCATGCACAGTGCCCCTGAGCTCCATTTTCGCTGGCAGAGTGCTATCAAAACAAACTAAAAACAAAACAAAAGGAGAAATGTTTCCCCTTTTGCATTTGAGCATGCAAGAAGGAGCAAGAAAGGAGAAAGGGAAAGAGGAAAGACAAAGAAAAAGGAAAGATGGGAAGAGAGCAAGGAAGGAAAAAGAAGAAAAGGCAGGCAGGCAGGCAGGCAGGCAGGCAGGAGATTATAATGAGAGTGAGGAAGGTCTCAGGGAAGTCCTGCCTTAGCACTTGGCCACCACAGGTGCCCCCGACACGAGTCCCGTCCACCCCGGCCAAACCCCCCTCCCGATCTTCCTAGGTCGAATACAACCATGATGCAGCCCTCAATGAAATCAAGTTTGACATCTCTGAACTAGAAGAACATGAGCTGATCAGAGTTGCTTCTTTATTGCCTGTATTTTACAAGAATCTCTCCAAACTGACTACATTCTCTTGGGAACAGTCAGATAAAGGCTCCAGGAATTTGAGGAGGGGTGGGGGGAGGTCTGGCTTCTGTCCCTTCCTTCTCTGCAAATACTCCAAGCTTGCCAGTCTCTTCATTCTGTTCCTCACTCTTAAGTTAGCGGTTCCATCACAGAAATCTTGTCAAACTTAAGCTGACTATTTGTACCATAAAACATATACTCTGGGAATCTATATTGTGTTGTCTCTTGCTTTTCTGGAATGCACTTTCTTCCTCCTGGGAATCTGGACAAGAATGTAGAATGTATATGTAGAAATATACATTCTGGTCAAGCCACAATATCGATCACCACAATTCCATACTTAGGCAAAAGGACTCAGAAACTGTGATGGAGGGGGCCTCGATGGACCGTAACCTTATCTCTTTTACAATCTACTAGAACAAATGAGTCTCACAAGCAGTTTACACTAAACTGTTTTTATTTACATAAAATAAAACAAGGTCTATTCAAAAAGAATATTAGATGTCATTCTCTTTCTTAAGTGTCCTGTCAGCTCTCTGGTGCAATCGCTCTATGCAATTGGAGTTCGGGCTTTTCTTCCTCAGAAGGAAGAGGCTTTAATGACTTCAGCTCTGCCTCTGATCCCGAAGAGAAAATCTGCTGGCAAGCATCTCCTTTTATACTGTCATAGCGGCAGTTATGGGAGGGCATAGAAAAGCCTGGGAGATTCAAAGCCAGGAGCTGCTCTCTGATTGGCTTATTTAATTGTCTAAGCCAAAGGCCATTAATAGGCACAGCAACTGTGAGGGAATTTTTCTCTCACAGAAACTAAATGTGGTTATTCTTTTACTTCGATTCTTTTGGGGAATTTTTGCAGAATCCCCTTCATCCTTGTCCTCACCATCAACACAGAAAGGGCAGAAGTAAAGGGCATAGTCCCAAATTTCAATGTTGATTCACATTTCTGAGGAAACTTTATTTGGGGGTCATTAAAAAGTGTGTCCTACTTTCAAAGGACTGTCCTTTGTTTGCAAGGTCTTTTAGTTTAACTCTGGATTGATGAGAAAGAATCACAAGTAGGAAGAAGAGAGGAAATTTCATATGGCCCATCAAAACTGGCACCTGGACCATGAACTATCAGCAGTACTCAAGTCAACTAGTCACTGTCCTCCCCAGACTTTAGCAATTAATTTCTATTTGAATTACAACAATGATTTCTACATTTGCACACATGTGTAAAATATCAACTCGCAAAGCATCCTTGGCCTACTCTTGAGTTGCCATAG